GGCGGGTGGTGGCGGCGTGGGGTGCCGGGAGTCACGGAAGCTGCTCTTCAGAGGCGCCGTTCCGCAGAGCAACGCCCGCTGCACACACTGGGCGCTGCTCCGCGCAAAAGTAAAGAAGGAAAACAGTGTTGCTATACGGCATCTGAACTGCTAGAAATACGTCATATCATTCAACAGCATGCGTTTCTTAAAAAAATGGTTTTCTTAAAAAGAAAATTCGCAAAGCTATAAATCCGATTGTATAGACACATTATATATTGTAATCAAGAAGAGCAAAATGTTAAACACACCACATCGATTCTCCAAAGTAGCTGAAAGGATTATTTTAGGATTGAGATTCTTTTATATGCAGTAAATCTACAACATGGGACAGCCGGATTTACTTCTTATTCGAAAGATGGCGTATAAAGATTTTTTCGTTCTAAGAAGTCCACGTCTTCTATCGGGCTTTAACCTGCAAATTTGGATACAACAGTTCGATATAGTAACCAGTATACCGTCGAACCGGTAAATAGGTACCACGAGAGGGCCTAGAATGTCTTTAAGGCAACGATGCATAACAATTAAGAAGAGAGTGGGGCAAAACCAAATAGCTAACCCGTCTCAAGAAAACAGGCAACCAATCTCCAATAGAAGGTCTGTATCATTTTGCAACACCACTAGTTTTCCATTCTGCAATACGTGGCATAGAGAAGGTTATCTAATACTTTAAAAATAAATGGCGAGATGTTGTCCGATGTTTAAATTGTCACGGTCTCGGATACCAGAAGAGTCTTTTTTAAAACCTCTGTATTTTGTCTTAAACTGTTTAAGAATCTTCACCAGTTTTAAGTTTGCCCAACAGACCTGATTGATGTCGCGTCCCCTTAAATTTGAAACGGACTTTTTCTACTTTTCTACTTAACTACTTTCTACTTCTACTTTACATTAATCCTGAACGACATTTCAAAATGTTCACAAAAGTGACTCGACATCGCTTCTTCATTTTTTCTCAAACATAAAATGGGCACTTCTGAAGTTTGGAAAATTGAAATATTTTATTTTTGTTGGTGGCTTCCTACAACTACAATGTTCATATAGACATATTTTCTCATTGAAATTTGATTAAGATATTTAATTAACAACATGTAAATTGTATTAAATATATGAGTACTTTTCGCGTAATTTTGGGACACATCATTTGGATTTTTTCCACTGGCGTCT